CTTATATTATACACTTTAAATGTGATTTTTTATCAAATCAAAGGATTCAAATCTGCTTTTGGTTTTTGTAACAATAAATTAACATAAAAATAACTGACCTTTACTTCTAAAATAATAATAATAATAATGAAAAAAACATTCACAGATTGTGTTTGGATGGCTGCTGAGGTGGATGCAAATGGCATTACAACGTGGCAGCGTTTATTTACTGATTATCTTCTACCAGCTTGTTACCACACCACGGGCAGCTGGCTGAAGTGTTGCATTTGTCCTTGACAGGTTTATCTTGTGATGGTCCTGGCTGCTGCTGCTGCTGCTCGATGAAAAACTCAGAGATGTGATTCTGAAAACTCTGGCTCGCTGCCTGATTGGATGAGTCACTTACTACCTGAAGGAAGGACGGACTGAATGTGATTTAGGAAAGTTTGGAAGCTACCTGTGCTTACAGGCTATAGGTTCATTCATTTATAATCAGCAACAAGAATGACATTTCACGCCTAATTGAAAAACTGAGTGGCTTCAAACCTAAGTATCATATAGAGACGTGCGTTATGACGGATTGGATGTGTGAATGATTGATCGGCGAAGTTGTCTCCAGCTGTTCGGACTCGCTGCTACCTCAGGCTAAACTCATCACCAGCTGTGCAGCCTCCCCCAGCATGCAGCAGCCTCTGGACATTATAGTGAGAACCTTTTTTTTKTTTTTGTCTTCGGATTTATCTCCAGCTTTAAAATTGGCCGTTACAAATGCAGAGTTTGAAATGTGTGCATCGTGCCGGACCTTAACACAGATTTGCTCTGATGACTCTTTCTGCTCACACGAATCTTTAAAACGGCCAAACGCGCTCAGTCGATCCTTCCCCCCCCACACACGGCCCGATGCCCTCTGAATTATTGATGCMTCCATATCGTATTTGAGTAGATAAATATGTTTGTCTCAAAGGCTAAATGTCATGTGGATTTGGAGTTTGGTGACCGTTTGCTTTGTCGTAAACCGTTTACTCGTGACACCGAGCTGATGCATATTTTACAGTTCCTTCAACTCGTACTGTTGCTTTTTTTTTCTTTTCCTAAATCTATTTTTTCTCCTCCTTTTTTTCCATGTGTCCGTTCTGTCGGCGCAGCAACAAGAGCAGGACCCCACCAACCTGTACATCTCCAACCTGCCAGTGTCGATGGATGAGCAGGAGCTGGAGAATATGCTGAAGCCCCTGGGTCACGTCATCTCCACACGGATACTGAGGGATGCTAATGGGGTCAGCAGAGGAGTCGGCTTCGCCAGGTAAATATCAATATTCATAAAATCGACGTGAGAGTACCTGCTCCTTATGTTCTGCGTGGGTCAAACAAAAAATACATTTTCTGTAGCACAACTTGTGCCTTTAAGCCCTCCAGTCAACACATCATTTCCTAACTAAGCTGGCCTAGTGGCACTCCAGTTTTCTGTCACAGACCAAAATCATATTTGTTATATGACATAAAAAGCAAATAACTTAATAATTTGGGATAACACTACAGTTGATGTAGTTTGTAATTGTGCTTGTTTTAGTCTTTATTTCCAGTTTTGGGGTTTTACAATCACAGTTTTTCTTCACAAAAGTAAACATCAACAAGCAAATAAAAATTTTAACATACATAGAAGAGTTGATGCCTTTATTTTTATACCGTTATTTAACCAAGTAAGTCCCACTGAGATCGCAGATCTCTTTTTCAAGGAGAAAACCCACGCAAGYACGAGGAGAACATGCAAACTCCAAACAGAAAGACCCCAGGTCTGAACTGGGGATCGAACCCAGGACCTTCTTGCTGTGAGGCGTCGGTGCTAACCACTGAGCCGTCGTGCTGCCTTTAAATTTTAAAAAGCTTGTTCCTTGTAAAAGTCTTTTAAAATATGTATTTTGACATTTTTAAATAAAATGACAATCATTTTTGAAGGAAACTGTCCTCATCAATTTTAAAATTG